GGACTTATTCCAATGATTAAATACCTTGTATTAAATGGAAGAGCTGCTGTTACGGCACTCATATCTCAAAAGTTGGTTCTTATCATTTATCTAGATTTATTTATTTATTTTTTTAATTTTGTCTAAAAAGGTGAGAAAATAGATGGAGGGAAGTAGGAAAATTACAGGAAAATAGCAGAAAATTTACGTAATCATGATAAATCAATTTTAATTACATTTGGGATGTAAATTTGGGAAATATTTGCAAAAATGTGATTTTTTTAATGTTTTGCCCCTCAATTTTCTCTTTTTCCCTTTGTCTTTTCTATTTTCTCCCTTTACTTTTTCCCCTCCCTTTGTAACCCTCTATCACTGGCCATTCCTTAGTGGCCACCACTATTTTCACACTAGTCTCATTTTGCTACCATTACCACCATACCTACCTTCTTCCACTAGCTCTAACCACTTATTATTTCACGACATCTCCATTGCGACCCTTTCAACCCTTCTCTTAATTTTGTTGCCTTGCCCATTGTGACACCTTCATCACCGTAACTACCCATGACAACATCGTAAAGAGAAGGACTAAAAGAGGACTTGAATAGCTAGCATTAGGGAGGGTGATGGAAAGAATTGGTATCAGGTGAGGTTAAGAGTTGACGAATGAGAAAATGAAAGGAGTTGAAAGGGTGAAAGAAGATTAAGGATAGTAGGGGTTAGACTGGTGGTTGCAAGATTGGGTGGGGGATGGGATGGAATGAGGTTGGGGAAGATGGATCAGGAAGCTAAGGATTGGAAGAAGGATAAAGTGAGACAAGGGATAGAGAGGGACATTTCTATCATTTTTAAGATATATTCCATTGCTTTGTAATTATAATTGATTTTTCATGATTTTGTAATTTTTTCTTTGAATACTACTTTTTGAAATTTTTTCAAATAAACAAAAAATGAAAAAAATAAAATAAAAATGCAGGAAGAGTTACTCAAGGTGCAATTTGCACCGAAAATATATTTCATTTTCACTACATTAATTTATAACAAGTGAAGTTATACAAACTAGTAAATTTTACAAATTTTTTTTAACTTGCACAACAAAACCCACAAAATAATGTGATTAAAATAAGGGTGAAACACCAATAAATCTTAAAATGTGATCTTGTGAATTGTTTAGTTTTTTCTTTTTTATTATGAACCCAAAAATCCCATTAAAGTGAAAATTAAATAAAAATGTAGTCACTTTCATGTTTGAATTTAATCTTCTAGGGATAAAAGTGAGTTTCACAAAATGTAAAATTACACATTTGGACAATTTGCACTATAGAAGTTTTGGATCTTCCCTCATTTTAGAACAAATCTCACGTTATGAACAAAAACTTAACACTCTAATATAATACTCCAATAACGTAACACTTCAATGTAACACATTAAAAAACTTATTGGTATACTTTTCCCAAATGTAATAACGTAATACTCAAAAAAAATTCTTTGGTGTATTTTTTCCAAATGTTACGCTCCAATGTATCCAAAAAAAAAAAAAATTATTAGTGTACTTTTCCCAAACGTAACACTCTAATCAGCGTAATCTCAAACGCAACACTCCAATATAACATATTCCAATGTAACACACAAAAACACTAAAAAAACACCTTAGTGTAATTTTTCCAAACGTAACACTCACAATTTAAAATTATACATTTACTCAAAACTTACTAAATAATATTTGTACTCTTTTTGGAATTGTTTGAAGAATCTCATGTTCTTTTATTTTTTAGTATTATATTGGAGTGTTACGTTTAAAAAAGTATACTAAGAAGTTTTTTTTGTGTGTTATATTAGAGCGTTACGCTTGAGAAAAATACACCAAAGAATTTTTTTTGTATGTTATATTAAAGTGTTAGAGCTCGTTTGGGAAGGGGGTTAGCTTTTTAACTTTTTGGCTATTTTAGCCTGGGGCTAAAAAGCTTAGTTTTGGGAAGGACTTTTGGTTTTTTAGGTTTTTTTGTGAGAGAAAGAATGTAATGATTATGAGTTGGATACGATGTTTTGTTTTATTGAACTAAAAAATCTATTTTGTTTTTTGTGGCTATTTTAGCCCAAAAAACCTCAAAACCAACTTGTGAAACGGAGGCTTAAGGTAAGGAATTTTTTTGGAGTATTATATTGAAGTGTTACGTTTGAAAAAAAAGTACGCTAAATAATGTTTTTGTGTGTTGCATTAGAATGTTATACTAAAGAATTTTTATGTGTTACATTAGAGTGTTATACTAAAGAGTGTTTTTAGAGTATTATGTTAGAGTGTTACATTTGGAAAAAATATATTAAGAAGTTTTTTTTGTATGTTATATTAGAATGTTACACTAAAGAGTTTTGTGTGTTACACTAAGAAATTTTTTTAGAGTGTTATATTAGAGTGTTACGCTTTGAAAAAGTACAGTAAAGAGTTTTTTTTATGTGTTACATTAGCGTATTACACTAAGATTATTTTTTTAATGTTACATTAGAGTGTTACGTTTTTAATGTTATATTAGAGTGTTATGTTTGAGTGTTATATTGAAGTATTATCGTTTGAAATTATATATTTAGCCAAAACTTATTAAGTAGTTTTTAAACTCTTTTTGAAATATTTGAAAAATCTCATATCTTTTTGGAATGTTTGAATAATCTCATATGTTAAATCATTTTTGTATTATTTTTGAAATATTTTCCAAATAAATTTTTTTTTTATATAAAAATTCATTTCAAATTTAATTCCCATATATTGCGTACTTACTTTTTTAGCACAAAAGAAAAAAAGATAAGGAATATAATAGAAATAAGGAAAATTTACCCATAAGTCCTAGTTTTTGAAACGTTGAACCATTTAGTCTTAAAAGTTTTCTTATGCTCCATTTAGTCCCATTTTTACATCAACATGATGTGAATGATGTAAATGATCTGATGTTTCATTCTATAATTTCAAAATTTATTGAAATCTGATGAACATTAGATGTTTTTCATCCTATATTTTCAAACATTATTGAAATTTGATGAACATTAGATGTTTTTTGAATAATCTCATATGTTAAATCATTTTTGTATTATTTTTGAAATATTTTCCAAATAAAATTTTTTTTTATATAAAAATTTATCTCAAATTTAATTCCCATATATTGTGTACTTACTTTTTTAGCACAAAAGAAAAAAAGAGAAGGAATATAATAGAAATAAAGGTATAACTGTAAATTTTAATTTTTAAATAATATATTAAATTTACCTTTTCAAAATCAATACGACTAATTAGCCTATAAAAAAATTCTTAAGATTAAATGGATCACCATTCTTCAAGATGAAATTTATAAGTAAATTTTCTTTAAAACAACTCATGAGTTTTTTGAACTAACTCATGAGTTAAAAAATAAAAAGTATACCCTTCTTTACAATTAGTTTATTATTTCACATTTATTTAATTATTATTTTTTTTCCAAATATATTATATGCATTTTACATTTTATATTGAGGGGAGAGAAAATAAAGATAGAGATGTGCCGAATTAAGTGGGGAGTCAAAACAACACGTTTGTTAATTCCTTTGTCTCCTCCCCCTCCCATTACCATAACTTGCCATATATATATATATACATATATAATAAGATAAACATGGCCTCATATCATTAGGGCACCAACAAAATCTCTCTCTTAAATGAAAGCTCCTCATGGTATTAAAATTTAAAACTACCCTTTCATCATCTGAATAGAGAGGTATCATATTGAGGGTAGGATTGTGATTTCACTTAAGGTGTTTATTTTTAGGTTTAATTTTTCATTTCTTCATCACTGTTCACCATCATTAGAAAAAAAAAAAAAAAGAAAATAAAAGAAAAATTCAAGATAATAATATAACCCCTTTATAAGGGTTAGTCTAAAAATCTTGAACCAATGTCATTTGATTGTGGGTTGTACATACAAATCATTCTCTCTCCAAATGTTGGTAAGTTTGTTGCTTATTTTATTCATTTCTTCATCTGGGTTTCTTCTGTATATATCATATATGTATTCTTAATTTATAATATATCAGAGAAAACAATACATTTATACGACAGAGACACACAGTTAAAAAATAGTAATGCAGTACTGTATTCCAATGTGTGGTTATTTTATTATTATTATTTTTATGTCTTCCATGGGAGAAGAGAGTGCTGATTTGAAATTCCACTGTGGGGTTATGTTTTGCAAAGGTGAGATTTGGTCCATATTGAGACAGGACTTTCTTTTTCCCTGATGACCCCACAAACTCACCATGTATCTTCTATATCTTTGTTCAGAAACTATGTCAGAGAAAAGGAAAGAAGGAGAGAGAATGTGTGTAGGTATATATGTAATTATATATATTCTGTATAGGTAGGTACCAATTGGATGTCATATCTTTGGGAACGTCAGGGCAAAGATTATAAATAGCCCATATAGACTTTGGAAAACTTGTTCAAGTATATATATAGAGAGACTGGAGAGAGACTTTTGTGCATCTGGGGTTTCTTTATTACCAAAGCCCAAAAGGGTCTCTCTCTCTCTCTCTTAGCCTCTCTGTTTTAGGAGAGAGGGCTGAGCTTTGATGGGTTGTTCCTGTTTGGTACTCTGAAGAAAAATTCATGGCTATGCCAGCTATGCTGTACTGTATACTTTTCTTGGGCTTTGAATATCTCTCTTTGGCACTGGGAGTTACTTCACCAACTGGGGTTGTTGTTCCGCAGTTCTACATTCATAATTTGATTTCAAGGTGGTTTTCCTTTGTCCTCTTCAGTCCCCTTTTCATGGTGGTTTGTTTGTTTCTGCACAGTATTTGGCTATTCTCTCATCTCTTTGAAATTATGCGTTCTTCTTTCTTGATGGGTTTTATCTTTTTTCTTTGGCTTTTCTGTTTGAAGTATTGTTCTTTGTGTTTTTTTCCCTTCTTTGGGTTGTGTTATTTTGTATGCAATGAAGATCAAGTAAATGATAGAGTGGGTGTTGGTTGAGCAGGAGAGGACAGAAGAAGGTGGTGGTGGTAAAGGGAAATTGGCAATGGCATCATCATCTTCTGCTGCTGCAAACCAGAGCCCAATGCCCAAGAAAGAAGCAGCCCGTACTTATCTTCCATACCCTCCTCCTCTTGCCAAATATGAGGATGTTGTGATAAACCCAAAGCTTTTTTTGGACACTTTGGAGAAGCTCCATGCTACTATGGGAACTAAGTTCATGTAAGCTTAATGCTCTCTCTTCAACTTTCATGCTGTTGTTTTGGACTCCTATGAATCTTTACTCTCATTATCTCATCTTGTGTTTCATATTCAACCTTTATGGTTTATATGTTGAGAACTGTAGGTTTTTTTTTGTTTTTTCTATTAGGGAGATGTTACTATGTGCACCATTTCCCCCTTGAAAGCATGCATATGGTATGCCTTTAACGGCACCGTAAAATTGTGTACCATAAACCATAAAATGACATAACTTTTACCATCACACACAAAAAAAAAAAAAAAAAAAAAAAAAAAAACTTTTAGTTTAAGGAGTACTGTAAATTTGCTATTCTTTAACTTTACCCCCACAAATTGGTATAACATACACCGCAACTATTTGTAACTTTCACTTAAAAAAAATCCTAACTTCATTAGGGGTGCACATCATGGATTTCCCCTTTCTATTAACATCTATCAATAATTTTTTGCCATTTAGAAAACAAGGATGGAGATTCACCTCCATTGTGATATGGAACTTCTTTTCCCTGTTGACTCTTGAAACATTTATTTTGTTAAAATAAAATGATGAAAACAGGGACTCCTGCAAAATGGAAAAAACCATGCACCAAATGGACATTTCATTTGACACTTTCTCTACAATGTATAGATTGAACTTTGAAGAATCATTGTGTCTATTATCCTTTGAGTTAGGGGCTTATATTTGTTACTAAACCCTTGTGTTCAAAATGTACCTCCCAAAAGTATTCTGGTTGTATTTTCTTGAACTTGGAAGTAGTAGCGCAGAGTTTAGCTTGATGTTTACAGAATAACTGTTGAATGCACTTCTCTCAGTTTTGGGATTGATAAATCCGGCATACGGCTTTGTTCTGCCTAACTAATTCATTCAAATCATGTTTAAGTTAATAAAAATGGTCCTGAGCTCTTCCAGCTTTACCACTATCTGCTAACCATTTAAACTTTAATAGTCTTAACTGACTTAATTTTAGTTTTGTCGTTGTTATTGCAAATTACAATTTATAAATATTCATTGTGGAAGCAGTGATGCATTAATTGCTTGTATTTTTGTCAACTAATCACTTCTAAACAATAGAAGTTTGGAGGACCTGCATGCTTACATTTATGTCACTCTTCTTTGTCAAGGATGTCACAGTTTTCCATGCATGGTCACAACAATGTAGTTTCTACTTTAACAAGAATTCTTCTGGTTCCTTGTAGAACAAACTCGAAGTATAATGTGTTTGCTTTGCTTAATGAAGAACATGAATCTTTAGAAATTTATTGACCTGTTTTTATTGAGGGAGCTATACATATTGAAGCTGAAGTCATTTCCATGAACCACTGTGTCAAAGAAATTAAGTAGAAGCAACTTGTTAAGTTAAGACTTGTTGTGCCAAGGTTTTGCACAAATACCTACCAAGTCATCATGCTTACAAGTTGATGCCATTTTTTTCCACAACTCTTGCCTCAAAATTTTAGGGATTGGGCATTATAATCTCAAATTTGGTTAGGATTTCGACTGAAAGTTGTCAACCCGATTAAATTCGGAAAGAGCCTGGGCAGGGGCTTTCACAACCTATGCAACTTGAACAACCTGAATTCTGCTGTTAACCGAACTTGCCCTAGCTGCTGCCATACTGGATTTCAAAGTTCTGCAAAATATTCATTTCTAAGAAGATTAACCTTGAACATGGATAAATATCTCAATTTGTTAATGAAAAATATACTGTCTTTTTTATTTTATTTTTTTTTAAAACTAGGATTAACAAGATACACCTTGCAAAGTAGTCAAATCTTTAGATATGTGCCTTTTTTCCCTATCACCCTATTATTCTTTAAAATTCTTTCCTCAATTGGGTTAGTCTGCAAAAAAAAAAAAAAAAAATTGGGTTAGTCTGCTCATTAATGTGGTGGTTGAAGGACCTCTTGTACAGACTGGAACTAAACTTTATTTACAGTTGCGATTCAGATCACTAATAGACGAGCTCTAAATGCAGCACTACTTACGTGGCAGCCAACAAGGGATGTAAAGCCACACATTCATATTACAGTGCATGTGTTTCATGCATTGAAAAAAAAAAAAGGGGGCAGATGTAAAGCCACACCTCTGTCACCGTCTTCTTCTCCCTCTCCATCTTCCCTCTCTCGCTCTGAAAGCATTTGCAGATTTGTACCAAGAGCAATATACAGAACAGAGAGAGAGAGAGGCAGATTCTTCTTTTTGTAAGCCAATTGCAATTTCTTCTAACCAACAAAACGTGCAGAAGATAGAGACAAATATATATATATATATATATATAGAGAGAGAGAGAGAGAGAGAGAGAGAGAGAAGAATGGATAGAGAGAGTGAAATGAAGCAGTCCAAGTTCAAGAGGATTTGTGTCTTCTGTGGGAGTAGCCAGGGGAAGAAAAGTAGCTACCAAGATGCTGCTATTGAGCTTGGCAAGGAATTGGTATATTATTGCTTTCATGCCATTAATGCCTCTGTTTCTTTTATGGGGGTTTTATGGTGTTCTTTCTTTGGGACCTTTCTTCACTTGGGTTGTTGACAAATGTTGTTTTGTGTCATGGGTTTTGTTTGAAATGTGTTTCTCACACTTTTTATCTATTGGATTTGATGTGGGTTTCTCTTGAAATCATGTAAATCTATTTGTAAGTTGGTTCATAGGTCTTTTTTCATTTAGAAATTTTGATTGATACCTTCAAATGGGACATTTTTGGTGCGGCTTTGGAAGTTTTTAGGCAAAACCCTCCATGTCAATCAATGTTTTCAGCTCTGTTTCTAAACAGCTCTCTCTCTCTCTCTCTCTCTCTCTCTCTCAGTTGTGATGTGTCGGCGCCGATCTCTCACTGTCGAGTGTGAGCAAAGAAGAAGGATGAAAGAGAGAGGTCGGAGAGAGAATAAAAAATGAGAAAGAGAGAAAAAATGGCAAGTTAGCAACAGTGGGCGCAATGGGCGCCACGTCATTTGTGCTTGCTCTAGAGCTCTTGCTCTAGTGCTCTGAAGCATTTTTACTTTATTTATTGATTTAATTTTGGCATAGTGGAGTGACATTTTGGATTTAGATATTGAAAATTACCATCTAGGGTGTTAGAAAGTTGTAGTTATGTAAACACTTTGCTGTGGAAGTATATCCCCCTCCGATTTATTGTGGTGGAGTGAAGTAGGTAAAGGTTGTCAAAATAGGGATCCTATATTGGATCAATAGAAGGGTTGACGTGGTATACGATTGTAGAATTGGATCAAGGAAACATTGTGAAAAATAATTTGTAAATGTGTAATAATTTTACATGACAAAACATTTTCTTAAAAGTAGGCTCAAAATAAATGTAAATTACACTAAAAGGAAATGAAAATATTGTGAAAAATATAATGCACCTTGTAAATATAAACATCATACAAAAGAAAATTTGGTAGTAAAAGATTTGCATTTCATGAAAAAAAGAAAAAGAAAAAAAGATGGAGAATAAGAATTTTGCAAAAGAGCATTTCGCATTTTGATGGCGTGGTACATAAAAGAGAAGGCAAAAGATTGTAAGTGAAAACCTATAACTATTGTCTATTGTATTGTAAGAATACTTTAATGCATATTGAAAATACTGCCATTACTGACTTGCAATTTTGCCACTAGAAACGGGATTTGATTTGTAGATTCTTACAGCATTTAATATTTAGCATGAACTATTTTTTCTTCTCCATGCTATTGCTGTTGTGCTGGAGTCCTTTCTTCAGCCATTGTAGTTCATTGTTTTGTGTATGTTTGCTCATTGTAGGATCCCTATTATAGGGGGGAAGGACCTAGACTTGCATCGGCTTTTTGTGGAGGTCACTACTCGTGGTGGTATTGAGAAGGTAGTAGTGATATTCTCTTCTTATTGATTTAATTGGAACCCTTGAATTATCAAGGCAAGATCTTTTATGGTGCTTACTGCTTAGTAATGCTTTATCACATTGTTTTACGTCTAAACTTGTGTGGCATACCACTAGTCTGACTGGCTTTGTTTTAACAGTTTTTCTTCTTGGTTTGGTTATACATCACAGTTTCTTAAAAAGTTGCGTACAATTTTTCTGAATATTTAACGGTTTGTCTATGTTGAACTATTTCACATTTGCTTAGTGATTCTCTAAATTTATTGTTTCCCATATTGTGGGTAGGGGTAGGTAATGTTGATTATTTACATTTGTTTATCTGTTATCACATGCTTCAAAAAATCCTAAAGTTTGTAAGTTTTTTCTTTTTGCTAATTCTTACAAGGCTTTTATGTCCTATCCTTGTAACTCATGCTTCACTCGGCAGGGATAAATTGCCTCGCCTTAGTGCTTTCACCTTGAAAACAATTTATGTCTAATATTTGTTTCGTTTTTTTTTTTGGAAGCCAACTTTAGGTTATGAGGATAATGTTTCACAATGATTCTATTGATATGAAATTACTTGTGGCTTTTAAGGTGAAGTTCATCAGGTGTTACATAATGAATAATTGCAAGCAACACCAAGCATAAAAAGATAGCCCAATTTGCAATCAAAATGTGCACATTTGCAACCTATGAATGCAGTTTCCAAATGAGTTACCAAATGTCATCCTATAGTGTGAAAATATGATTTTGAAAATAACTTCCAAATTCATACGGGAATTTTTATTTTGGGACTGGATGTACCTTTGTTATATACTTCCCCTTCTTCTTTTTTTTTTATCATTTTTGTTTGTTCCCTTTTAGTATCTATTATGACCAAGATTGTTAAATTCGGGATCCTACGTTGGATCGTTGGAGGTGTTTTATATGATTGGATCGTAGAATCGGATCAATGATCGTAAGATCTTACCGAAAAAGACAAATTACATAACAATTTAATTTAAATAAACATTTCTTAAAAAGTTTACACAAAAATGAGTCTATATTCTATTAAAAAGAAGTGAAGATATTGTGAAAAATATAGGCCTTGTTTGGTTTGTGTTTCTCAAAAAATTTTGGAAAAAATTCTCTACAAATAAGTTTTCAAAAGTAATCAAACCAAACAAATTTTTTCAAATTCTTTTTTCAAAACTTGTTTGGTTTACAAATTTTTCAAACAAATCTCTCTCTCATACACATCAAATCAATTACTTTTTCCAAAACTCTCTCTCAAAATAATTTTTCAAAACATTTTTTGAAAAAAAACCAAACCAAACAAATTTTCGTACTTTTTATCTCAAAACATGTTTCTCAAATACAAACCAAACAAGGCCATAATACTTTTTGTACAATGTACATATAATATTATATAATAGTAAACTCGATAGTAAAAGGTTTGTATTTCATCAAAAAAGAAGGTGAATAAGAAGAATTTTATAACAAAATACTTTACAATCTACAATAATGCATAAAAAGTGAAGAAAAAATATTTAACGAAATTGGATATGAAAATAGATTAAGAACTCAAAAGAGCAGTTTAACCGAATGATAAGGTTTGTCATTAGCATCCTTGGTGGAGCGGATTTGAGTCACAAAAATAATTTCTCTAAAAATTGGGAAAAAGTTGCAATCATCTTACCCTCCTTAGACTCCACTAAAGCTAAGTTTGTTTTTCCGATTAGTTAATTTTTTTAAATTACCGTAATATTTGAATGTTTATTTCCTAGTTTGTTTTTTTAGTCTATTTGATTCAATATTAATTAATTTTTATTATCTATTTTGATCACATAAATTGGTATTTAGACAACAAACATAAAATTTACAATAAAATATGTCATACAATACAAAACAACGGGCTATAAAATATGTCGTACAATACAAAATCGGATTCGGATTGGGATTCCACGATCCTATAAGACCCTATTACCAGGATCGAAAGATCCTACCTATAAGAAATTTTACACGATCCGGATCGATAGTACTCAAATGGATCGTAAGATCTAGAGCGGGATTCTGATAACCATGATTATGACCATTTGTGGTTTTGGTCTACAAAAATTTTGTAGGAAAGAATTGAAATTAGGAACTGTACTACCATTGTGTGTCACAACAGTGATCTTTGAACTTCAAAATTTCTTTCTTTTTCTCATGTCTTATGCAACCAAAGAGATCAGTATTGTCTTTTATTCACTCTGTTATGGAGTTTGTAGATGACCTGTAGATTGTGATTTTGTTATTAACTTTCTTTTAAAGTATTATCAAATGTTGATTTGTTTACCAGTAATTGTTGTGGTCAAATTGAGCTGCACAGATACTCAAAGAAAGAAGATGGAAGGAAGTGACTGCTGTTTTCAGTTTTCCCTCCACAGCTACAAATGCTTCTTTCGTGCTGCGTAAATACTATGGGACATTGCTTCACCACTATGAGCAAATTTACTTTTTTAAGGCCAAGGGTTGGAGTCCATCTGTTGGTGCGTGCACATAATCTCTTGAAACCCTCATGATTATTATTTTTCTTGTGGAATTCCCATTTATGGAACAAAATTCTTCTGCAGATCCTTCCCAGAGTCAGTCTTCTCCACCTGTTCCACCTCGGGCTTTGGCTGAACCAGTGCTGCCAAGCCCGCCAATGACTGAATTTCTGGAAGCTGGATTGCAGCCGCTGAGAACTAATGTGGCAGAATTTTCGCATGGAGGTTTTCCCTTTTCTTCTTTTGTCCCTACCAATAAATATAAAAAAGTGTTGATTACATCAAGACTCCCTCACAGATGAGAGGAGTAATATTCATATGCATAGCAAGTAAAAAAATATAAAAAATATTTCTGTTTGTTGTATTCCCATCATGTCCGTATCCTAATTTTCTGAAAATCGCTGTGCCAGTTTCGGCTTCACCCTAATAAAACCAAAAAGTTTTCAGATATTTGCAAGATGAGGTTGCTAAGGCATTTGTTATATAATGGTCTCTTTGAAAGAGTTCTATAAGATGGCAACCGGACTTGGAATTTTGCAAGAGTACTCAAATATTAACCTGTTGCTTTATTGTGCCAGTTTTCTTTTTCTGTTATAATTTCTCTCGGTGGAATGTTGCTTCTAATAATGTGTCATAGGATTGATGATTGTTGAGTTGAAGTGAGTATATACCTTGCAATGCTATTTGTCTCGTCAATGGGTTTTATCTTGGATTTTCAATTTTTCACAAACCATTTACTTGTGTTTCTGATGCATATCTGTGGTAAATCAAATAATGCCTTCCCTCTCTAATGGCTGCAGAAACTTCAGCGCCGCCATCAACAGGAACTCCAGCGATTGGTGTCATTGATGGGAAATTTGAGACTGGGTATCTTGTTACTGTCAGAATTGGCTCAGAGCTGCTAAAAGGAGTACTTTATATGGTTCCGCAGAACCCAGGAAGCCAAGTGCCACAACATCAAAATGCATCTGCTAGCAATAATGACAATAATACCCCCGCAGCATCAGGCATGTCTCGTCGCAGGCGTAGGAAGAAATCTGAGATGAAAAAGAGGGATCCTGCTCATCCCAAACCCAACAGAAGCGGATATAATTTTTTCTTTGCAGAGCAACATGCTCGGTTGAAACCACTTCATCCGGGGAAGGACAGAGAGATCAGCAGGATGATTGGTGAATTGTGGACAAAAATGAAAGAACCTGAAAAAGCAGTAAGTGCAAAAATACCCAATTCTCTTGTATGCTATAAATGCTACTTGCTTGCTATACTATAATTTGGTTATGGGTTAAATACGCAAATGGATCCTAAAGTATGCGTTAATATCAAATGTGTCAATTTGGTTACCAACCTATTAATTTTGTCAGTGATCCCTACCTCTGTTTCTGTCTACAATCGATAACAGAAGTGCAGCCACTTTTGTAACAACATCTTTACACATCAGCAAAACGAGAAGGAAAAAAAAGGGGTTAAATAAACTCTCAATCTCCAAAGTACGTGTTTTGTTTCATTTTGGTCCCCAATATATCAACTATGTTAATGTGGTCGCCAACTTATTTAAATTGCATTAAATAATCCTCAGTGTCACTGGTGATTTGACAAAAATACTCCTACTCCTGTTATCAATTGCAAGCGGAAACGGAGGTAGGGACCATTTGATGACAAAATTAATAGGCAGTACCCAAATTGACACATTTGAAATATGAGGGACCAAAATGACACATAACACGCATACTTGGGGACTTTGTGTATTTGACCCTTTGGCTGTCTTTGACTTCTATTATATCTAAGTATTATTATTATTATTTTCATTCGTGGTTTTTGTTTCAGGTTTATCAGGATAGAGCTGTGAAGGACAAAGAAAGATACAGAACAGAGATGGAAGATTACAGGGAGAGATTAAGGACAGGCCAAATCATAAGCAACGCGGTGCCAATACAGCAACGATCTCCCGTGCCACATTTGCACATATTGGAAAGTAGTGAGAAAATTGTAACTGAAGGTGGGGAGTCTCCTCAAACTCCAGAAAATGAGATTAGCAGTAAGAGTGACTCAGAAGATAAAAGTGCAGATAAGGACTCAGATGATGCGGAGACATCTCCAGGAGTGGAATTCGGTGCTGAAAACATGGGCATGGAAGATTTAGTTGACAAAGAAGGTTTTGAGCTGCACCCAAATAAGAAAAGGGCAGTCAACAAAGCTGGAGACGAGAGCTTGGAAAACTCAAATGATATTGTTATGCAAGAGACCAAGAAGGACTCGGTAGCTGTGGAAGAGAAAGGATCAATGCCTTCTGAAGGGAAAGAACCATTGCCTAGCGATGAACAGAGAGGTTCGGTTTCTAGTGAAGCAAAAGAAGCAGTGCATAGTGAAGATCAGTAAGTGTTTTTTCTATGGTGTAGGAGGCTAGCCTCTATAGGTCATCATCATACCTTGTTTGAGCATAGTTGGATTTAGATATATGCTAGTAGTATGTGGTTTTATTGATTTCTTTGCAGATGTTTGTTTATCGTGTTTGTACAATCATGGTGCTGTGTTAGATTATATGGTGTTCCTAGCTTTGCCAACTTTGGACAATTTTGTAATGCTGTGTTGGTAGATATGATTTTGGATTGAAGTGACGTTCTGAGGCACAATGCTGCCCCAACTTTTATCAGTGAGTTTTCTCTGTTGCATTGTGCATTTTGACCTTTTGGTGGAGATGTGTTGAGGTGCAAATTTGGTTTTGCTTGGGTGAGTTTTTAAGATAATATATGTAAGTGCTTATTTATTGGTAGTTATCTGTTTGGTTGTGGGTTTTGAAGACTTTGACATAGTTTCACTTGTAAATTTTCATTCTCTTACTTTGTACCCTGTTGTATACAAAATCATCATATTTAGATTTTGGTTTAGATTTTGGTAGTTGGACCTTGAATTATCTGTTTTTGGAAAATGCTATTTTAGGAAAAAAAAAAATCAGTTTGTGAAAAAAGCCAGTGTTATATGCCAGTGCCTGTTTGGCAGAAATTATTTACAGCTTATTTCAGCTTTCAGCTTAATTTAAGCTATTTTGATGTGTTTGGTTTAGCTTATAGCTTTGTGGAAGTCAGAAATCAGCTTATTCTTTGAGTGGAGCAGGAGATGCTTTAAGAATAAACTGAAAATCAGTTTAAGCTGAAAGTTATAAGTTATAAGCTGTTTAGGCATAAGTTATAAGCACTTTCCCACAGCTCTACCAAACAGAGCTAGGCAAATTTTATTTATTTATTTATTTATTTATTTATTTTTTTCAACCAAGTCAAACGGGGAACTATTTTAGCCAAAACTAAACTGGGAGTATCAACAGAGATATTGGTGTTATTTGTATGGACCATAATCCTTTGGAACCTCTAACCAAAAATTGTGGTTAGGTGTGATGGTCCTCTTGTGGAAAAAGATGAAACATATAGTAATCAAAAACTTTATTAGTACATAAAAGTCATACAAAAATAATTACCAGAATAACGTGACGACATCATTTTTATAAATATAAATAATTTTATAGATGTTTTGTTTTATAATGAAAAGCCTCTCTGAAGCCATATTATTATATATGAACATTTTGTTAGAATTTTCTACTTTTATGTCATTATTTAACTATTGATAACTCAAAATATGCATGACATGTAAAAAAATTAATAATATATTTTTATACAATATAATATAAATAGTTAAATTTTTGTATGTAAATTATGAAAATAAAGAATATTGAAATTTATAATTTAAGTCCCACAATTTTATCACAATTTGTTTATTATTTTTTAATTTGTCATAAATTTAATCATATAACTTTCAATTCCCTTCGTTAGAATTGCAAACTTAGGTGAGCTCAATCCAAGCAACTGGAGTTGAGCTTAAAATATTTTAAAGATTGAACAATATAGTTTTTAATTAAGTGAGGACCTATACAAAAAATTCAAATTAAATTTGAGTGGATTTAGACAGAAACACCAAATAACCTGAGAAACTAAAACAAAATTATATATAAATATATAAATTATTTGCTAATTTATTTTTTTAAATAATAAATGAAATTAATTAAAAATTTAGTATTAATGAACCAAAAAAAAGCAATATAGAATTTTTTTGAAAAATATTTAAAAAATACACATTTTAAAAATGGATTATCGAATAAAGGATTGTTTGGGAAGTGCCATATTAGCTCATTTTTTTATCTTTTTATTTTTTCTTGATCACATCACATCTTTACTTTTTTACATATCTTTTCGTAAATTTTTTTTTGGATCACATCACATCTTTACTTTTCTGTACATATTTTCGTAAAATATAAAAAAGTTATACTTATTTAGCATTTCCCAAACTACCACTAAGTTGATATTAAAAAAATTTACTTTTTATAATGGCAAAAATAATTTAAGGGCAAATTACTTACACCTCCCTTGAGATTTAACCCAATTAACGCTGTTAATGGATATCATAAATTAACTGAAATGCCCTTTTGACAAATAAGAGCAAATTACCCACACCCCCTTGAGGTTTAGCTAAATTATAGATTCTCCCTGAGGTTTAGATAAATTATCATTTTTAAATAAGTTATGAAATGCAAAATTAAAATGGAAAAACACTTGTCACACTACAAAAAATTAAGGTTGCGTTTGGTAGAGCTTTCTAAATATGATTTGAGAATAGGAGTTGTATTTTGAGTTTGTGAGTTTTGGAATTATGATTTGAGTGTGAAAAATTTGTTTGGTGAATGAGTTTTGAATTGAGTGGAGAATTTTTGATGTGACATATGATATTTGATACAAAAACTTACAACACATAACCAAACACACAACTCAAAATTCTATTAAAGCTCATAAAAAACTTTAAAAAATTCAAAAAATATTTTTTGTTGAATATACAAAAATTAACATGTGTCAAACAAAAAAAAAAATTGCACTGTTCCGGTCAACTGGCTGGATGACTGGTTAGTCTAAATTTTCCCGCCTTCGACCGAGTTTTCAAAAGTAAGCGTAAAATTAATTTTTGAAAGCTGCAAACAAACACCATGTAAGAATCAATGACTGGAACTAAAGTTCCAAAACTCTACCAAACAGAGCCTAAGGTTTTATACTCCAAAATTTAGGGACAAAATTATTTTTAGGGGACCAAATATTTTTGTTGCGAAAAGTGTCATTATATTTTTAGCAACATAAATTAAACATTAGTGATTAATTATCATTTTTTTGGTATCAAATTTTTTGTCTCAAAAAATAAACCATTTTGAGACCAAATTATTTTATCTCCAAAAGTCTATTTATTATTGACATTTTCAAAATTTTATCGCTAAAATCTTTATTTTTGACTTTTCAAGGCGATCTTTTAGCGACTAGCTTCACAACGATAGAAATTAGTCCCTAAATGTCTTTTGTAAGAAAATTTTAACTTTTAGAGATCAAAATAATTAGTCTCTAAAACTCTTGTATGTTGTAGTTTCAGATAATGAAAATATTATAAAATTAAAAAATAATTAAATAAATTAAAAACACAAAAAAATGGCTTGTCAAAAAATTCTTAGAATATGTTTGGTTTGATTTTTAGAAATTTCTTTTTATTTTTTTTTAAAAATTAAAAATTAATTTGGTTAAGAAAATAAAAAATATTTATTATTTTTATATAATTTTATTTTTTGAGTGGTTAGAAATAATTTTTACAAATTAAATATATTTTTTCATATTTATTTTTATTAAATTAATTTTTATTTTTTTTTAAATTCTGATTTTTTTTTTTTAAAACAACAAATCAAACATGGTTCAAAAAACTTAATTTTTTTTCACCATCTAACGTAATTATTTTGTAAATTTTGTTGATTTATTAAAGGAATTTTAGCAAAGGTAATATCGTCCATCAATTTATATTTTGGTGATGTCAGTTAACCATTCTTGATGTTTAGTTAACAATATGAATTAAATTGTTATGCGAATATAAACCTCGAGGGGCAGGATGTAATTTCTGAAACCTCAAGGGAATCTGTAATTTAGCTAAACCTCAAGGGAGATGTAGGTAATTTGCCCATAATTTAAATATGATTTTTTTATAAATTCTTTTTAATTTAAAAATTACAACAAAATATTGAATAGAATAAAAACAAATTTCTTACAAAATAAAAGTATTTGAATAAAAATAGGTAAGAAGAAAATTTAATATGGTATTTTTATTTAATCTAAAAATAATTTTAGATGAATAATAAATTATCACCTATAATCCTCTTTTTTTTAAATAAAAAAAGTTTAATGAATTGTCACTTTTATTAAAAAATAACATAATTTATGTAAGAATCCACATTTGATATTTTATTTTAAGAATATAAAATTAATTTATAAATCAATCATATTGTAACACGTATTAACAAAAAATTAAACAACATAAAAAAATGAGAAAAAAAATTACAACTTTCAACCTTAATGAAATGACAATATTTTGTAATTATAATAGTATATAGATATATAGATAAATCATAGAATATATCATTATTTAAAACTTATATATTGTGGATAAATTATTATAATTTTAAATTTAAATTATCAGAATGCTTTCCATATTTAGTGCTCCTCAAATTTTAATTTTGAAACATTCTATTTTTTATTTTATATATTTGATGTACTTTCCATTTGAAAGATCCTAATCTGGAGATATTAAATATTTTTAAACAAAATAAAAAAATGAGAAAAAAGAATTACAACTTTCAACCTTAATGAAATGATACTATTTTGCAATTATAATAGTATATAAATGTATAGATAAATCATAGAATAGATCATTATTTAAAACTTGTATATTATGGAATAAATCATTATAATTTTAAATTTAAATTAATGGAATTGCTTTCCATATTTAGTGCCCTTCAAATTTGAATTTTGAAATGGATTAGTATTTTTTTATTTTATATATCTGATATACTTTTCATTTGAAAGTCATAAATCTAGAGATATTATTATATATATATATATTGCTTGAATGAGATTTTTTTAATTATTTAAAATCAAAAAATTAGATATTTTAGTTTGAGATATTGGAGTTTGAACAAAACCTTGGAGTTCAAACAAAACCTTGTGGTTAGAAACCACTTTTTACTTATATAATATATAGATAGATAGATAGATTTAATAAGAATTTATATTTATTTTAGACATTTTCTTAATATACAAATTATTTTTTTGAGTTTTTATAAAAGTAATTTAATAATCTCATCACTAATCATAGTGTATAGGAGAAATTAAAAAGGGTGTAGTATGTATGAGAGAAGTCAAAAAGACTTGCGGGTTGAGAGAAATTAATAAATGTTGAGATTTTTTTTTTTAAAATCAAAAAATTAAAAGATTAAAATTGAGATATTAGAACCCTCCAAAATAACAAAATTTACTTATCACCACAATACTTCACAAAGAATATATTTTTCATCATTTTTTCTATATAATATATATATATATATATATATATATATAGATATCAATACATCAAATCCAAAACTTTTGATTCTCGGTCAATTAAAACAATTATTTCACTCAAAATAATATTTTAAATTAGATGTTTGGCAATTGGCGTTAGAATAAAGTGGGGCAAATTATGTTGGTAATCTATATAGTTTGCCCTATGTGTTATTTTAATCATTGTAATATTAATTGACTTAATTTTGAATATAAATTTTAAATTTTGTGTCATGGAGATTAAAAAATTAGACCGAAAATTCGCAAAATGAGTGACAC